GAGAGATAGAGAGAGAGAGAGAGAGATAGAGAGAGGGAGAGAGAGAGAGAGAAAGCTTGAGCGTGGATAGAGCCGGTTGTATTCCACCACAAATTTATTTCAGGAATTTTTATATAATATTTTAAATAGTTCATCAACCTCGATGATAAAGCGGGCAAAGAGCCTTATATATCTTATTCTTATTCCTTTTATATTTCATTAATCTATGTCACAGGTCAGAACATAATCATAATTGCCTTGCTCATTCTCGCCTTTTTACAGTTCTTTTTTTATTACTCGCCTCACATCTTATCATCTCTCTCTCTCTCTCTCTCTCTCCCTCTCCCTTCTCTGTCCGCCTCTCCAATCACTTTCGCTTAATCTGAATCTACTTCTGCTTTGTAACTCTACTTCATAGCCGATTGAAGTTCAGCAGATAATTACTATCGCCCCCTTCCATTGTTTTCCAATCTCATCGAGTGAGTCCTAACGCTACAATATGACAGCTATATAGGTACACACATCACACAATATGAATGAAGCCTGTTATGACCATAAGAAGTTCTGGAGGTTCGATCCGCTCGCCTCCTCTTGTAATTTCAAGCAATAAAATAATTTTGATTTAAATTTTGATTGTGACTTTGATTTCAGATTTTGATTTTGACAAACGTAGGCCTATGTCTGTTTAGACGAGTAGGCCTACAATGTAATATATTATTCAGAAGTCTTATGAAACATGGGTAATGAACTTTGACGGTACCTTGGAGTTCTACATTTCATTTCCCTGCAGCGTACGCTGTTGCGTAGACAGTGTTGTTCGCATTGTGTTGGGGGTGTACGTAGTGGGTATCTCGTACGAGTAGAAGTGTCTATGAATTGACTTTACTTGTATAATATCGTGAAATATAACCAATGCTGCGTGGTAAAGGCAGGGTCTTGTATCAGAATCCATATTTGCCCATTTAAAGGGACACAAAGGGCGATTATCAATTTCAAATTTAACCAAGAGAACGAAGCCCTGATATTACGTTACAAGCATTGTGAGATCGTCTGTTAGTGAGCTACTTTGTCCGAGTGTTCAAGAGTGAAGCGCGCCATCTCCAACTCACTGTTACTACGCAAACATTAGTCAACCAGTCTTTTCGACAACATAGCAGAGCGTCATCTTTTGGCATAACTTTTTTGTTAACGATTACATCATCGTTGGTAATCCCCATTTTTAGGACATATTCCTATGCACTTTGTCCTTTCCTCAGTTCGGCCCTTTTATGCTGTCTTTCCTGTATAGATCGACTGCTCCGATAAACATCTCGTCTTCAGCATGGGGAAAAGATTATATGAGGAGTAAGGTAACATAACATATTAGGCATTATAGAAGGGTAGAATCAAAAGATACCATTGCCCATGTCCTCTGTGAATGTCATACATAGATAAGAATGATTGTGCATATTATAACTAGCACCATTTGCTATCTAAAAAGCTTTTGACTTGTCAGTCTTCAATGAAGGTTTACTAGACTGTTGTATCTTGTAAACGAAAAGGCCTGTTGTTTTGATCACTACCTGAGCTAATTATAACAATCAACAGGGTTATGATGAATAATTAAAATAATCATGTCTCATTGATGTATTATCTCATGAACAATATTCAACCCAACCGTTGCGTCTTGTAGCTAGCGTGTTTTCAGGTCCAGTTCTTGTTTGTGTTCCTCTTTCTTATAATTACTGTCTCACCCCACTCCTTATACGCCCTTCTCTCTCTCTCTCTCTCTCTCTCTCTCTCTCTATATATATATATCTTTCTCTTTCTCTCTTTATTTCTATCTCTTTCTCACTTTCCCTCCTTCCCCCTCTCCCTCTTATTCTCTATCTACATTATCCTATTTCTCTCGCTTAAATCACTTTACACTATTGAAAATACGATTCATGCCTGTTTATTTTCTCTTTGTAACAAACACTATTTTCATTAATCAATTTTAAAGGTCACACCGAAAGAATGGCCTATATTAGATTAATTATTCTTGATGAAGTCTCTTTTTTATTTAATTGGGCGGATAAAATGAAAACCCAGATTGACATGGTTTTCTTTGCAAAGGTCACAGTTGATAGAATAATAATACATGTAGATACCAAAATGAAAATGAAAAATATATATATCACTACCAAACTACTTTGTATGTAAGGATTATTTCTTCAAAGCTTAGGAACTTCTCTTTTCACTTTGGACAATATATATTTTGAACTAATTAAAGATATATTTGAATAAGATGAAACAATTCCTTTCAATGAAAAAATATTTCAATTGACATATTTTTTAAATTATAATTTGATATGTTTCATCTTTGTTAGCTAAAATGTTTAACAAATGTTTGCTAACTGCATTTACAAGCCCAATTTTTAGCCTCATATGTTACACTACTTATATGACTAGGAATGAAACCTAAACAAAGTGAATATAAATGCATATATAATTACTGTAAATAATGTAACATATTTATATCCCACGAAATATAATTATATTTAACTTAAAATGCTATATATTTCAACGAAATCATGAGTTTTCAAATACATGTAATGTCAGATTGTGCGTAATTTACAATCATAAATAAAATAAATAGCAACATATTAATGTTGTACATTAAAAAAGAATAATTTACAAGGTCACAGGTAATAAAATAAAAATAGATACCAGAATGAAAATGAACAATTTAAATATGACTACCAAACTACTCTTCATAGTAAGGAGTGTTTCGTCAATGCTTAGGAACTACTCTTTGCACTTTTGACAAGTGAATACTTTCGACTAAATACAATTGAATATTAAGATGAAACAATTACTTTGAATGACAAAGCATTACAATTAAAATATTCTTAAAAACTGATTTCAATAACCAGCTTCCTCTTTGTAAGCTACACTATTTAGCAAATGTTTGCAAACTGTATTTAAAAGCCCGATTCTTTCTGTTGCTATTACATTCTAAAGCCCGTCTAACTTCATATGTTACACTTCTTATATGACTAGGAATGAAATTCCATTTAACTTAAAACGAAATCATGAGTTTTCATATACATGTAATATTGGAAAGTGCGTATTTGACAATCATAAGAAAATAGCGAGCAACATATAAAGTTGTACATTTAAAAAATAGTCAAAATACATGAATAAAATTGAATATAACGTTAAATAGCATATCGTATGTCGAAATGAAAGAAAATAAGATATTACGAACAATTCTGCAGATACTTTCTCACATTAATGATTGCATGATTTTCTTTAATATATACTTTACCAGGGACATTGCCAATGTTGTGGGTAATGAAACAAAAGAAGGAATTTCACTCGTATGTTCAAGTTATTGAGGGATAAATGTAGAAGAGAAAAGTACAAACCGAAGTGGAGATACCGACAAAATATGTCTACAAACTGATTAGATTCATGTTGTGTTTTCAGTTTGACGGATTTGAGATAGATGTATAGCAGTTTGGAACCGCGGTATGGAAGAAATAACATAACAAAGTCCTAATCTGCGATTCGATATAGATGCAAGAAATGATAAGGTTCACTGAATCGCATGTACGTTTATATGTGTGTAGTACATACATGTACATCAATATATCATGAATTCGCATGCGTTCACAATAATTTTGCAATACAAAGTATAATCAATAATATAAAATAAAATCAATAGATATGATGTCCACACAACTTTAAACGATTAGGTCATAACCCTCCATGTTCTGGCTACCTTTAAGCATCATTGATATTATATTGATATGAAACCTGAAACAATTCGGGGCAAAGAATGCCCCTCCAAAACCCCAATTGAAATATCGCGATTACTTTGGACCAGGGACGGATCCTAGGGGGGGGGGGGGGAGAACAGGGGACACGTGCCCCCACTACCCCCACCCCCTCCCCCGGTGAGAAATTCCTGGATCCGCCACCGTGGACATATAAGAAAAAATCGTCAAATCTTATTCTTATCGATGTAAAGCATTTTTTTTAACATAATATTTTCTCACTGTTTCATGGTGGCAAAGACTTTTGAGACTTCGTATCGAAAGGAAATAAATGTATTGTTTTCTTTTTCTTCTAGAATGAGTAGTCATTTCCCAGTCCATGCTAGCCGCTTTTTTTTAATCCTATACATTTAATATATGTCCACATGAAAGCTTAAAAAAACACAATTTCATTAAACTCGAAATTAATCGTACATACATATTAAAAAGGTACATGAGATCATATTTATCCGGTATATTTTGAAGCCAAACGCGTTGTTCCATTACTAAAGAAATGACTATGATTCTAATTTTAATTGTTTTATTTAGAACATATTATGGAATTATTGAAAGGTGAAAATGATTTGTATTCCGGGTATGGGGTTTCTTCTTCACACAGCGTCTCGCCGACAGCACACCCCACTCATCGACTCGAAACTCTCCTAAGTCCGCAACCCGGAAACTCCAGCCCAGACGGACAGTCAGACGAACCAGCCAACCATCCATGCCCACTCCCCGATGACTCAAGTCAACACGGTCACCTATTTCCCTGACGTCCGCACCCCGGTGACTTAAGCTCACGCACGCCAACTATTCTCCACTCCTGACGACGGATAGTCAACCTGTTCGAAACGTAGAGCCACTCATCCTCTCCAAGCGCTATAGTTCTACTTAGAACTATATGCTAAGCAAGATAACAACAGTCCTTTTCAGGACTACACACCGCCAAGAAAGATTACCGAGTCAGAGTCCTTTTCAGGACTCCTCAACCCTCTCTCTCTCTCTCTCTCACATGGTGCACCCGAAAACCTACTGTATAACTTCTAAAAAGTCACCGAGATTTCGAAATTATATAAAGTATAAATAATTCGTTTGCATTCAATATGTAAAAAGACATTTCTTCGTGAGAAATGCAGATGCTTTAACTATAACTGACTAATAAGGACAATCGAATAATAATATATTCTGTTGAGGCTAATTAATCCTGCAGTATGAGGAATTACATTTATTACTTCTAATGACTCATACAATAAATCTCTTCTTGTACACAAAAAGCTTGTCACTGTCACAAGCTACAAGGTTACCAGAATGAGTTACAAGGCATGGGTTGGTGTACAGGTTGACGTTCCGGACTGATTCCGCGTATTCCACGATCCTCCTTGCCTGGATGATGCCATCACATGACACCTGATCAACTGCGAAGCTATTACGCTTTCTATCCACGTATGTGATGTAGAGTGTGTCTGTCAGTTTGTCAAAGTGACACCGTGGCTGGAACCACTCATCAGAGTTTAAGACAACTTTCGCTTCACCTGATCGTGAGATGACAGTGAATTCACTACACTCGACTGTCGTCATAATGATATCACCTGATGACAAGGCTTGTATCTTACTACCCACCAACTTCTTGCCCTGCTTCGTAATAGTGTTTACTATCTTACCATCAGCAGGATTGATGACGTAGATATTAGACTGATTGTACAGAGCAGCGAGGATCATCCCATCCCTGTCAACATCAATGTGCACACTAGTAGTATCAGAGCGGTTATTCCTCGGCATGCTGATGTCTCTAATCACCTTCCATTGCCTGTCATAGAGAGTGATGCCTCCATCGGATGTTCCACCCGTGCGGCCTCGTCCCCCCTTACCACATACTATTACGTTGCTGTCTATGGGGGCGCATGACGTAATATACATGCTACGATCTCCTCCAATGACTTTCTGTGTGTTTTCAGTTCTGATATTTGTAACATACATGTTATCATTCATTACGTCCCGCACACATATCTCATCGTCACTGATCAAACCACGCACCAAAGGGTCATTAACAATCGATGGAATCTGAATTGACTTGACAAGCTCCCATTTACCGATAAAGCCGTCAATTCTCCCGTAGTGTTCCCCGCCTACCTCACCATCGAAAAACTTTACTTTCTGAACCTCGCGCTGTATTCCGTCAAGACAGTCGCTAACATCTTTCAAATTCAAAATGTCATCTAGGGATGCAAGTACTTGCAGAGCTTCATTCACCAATGTTTTGTCATCTTGTTTGATTCGTTTGATCTTAGCGTCAGCATTATCCATAGTGCTGATTGCATGCTGACTATTACTTGTGATATATTTTACCCTTTTAGCAACCACCTCGCTGATTGCCTTTGTTTCTGATTCGACTTTGGCTAGGCTTTCTCTGATGGGTCGTTGTTGTTGTTCTGCTTCTTCTTGACATGATTTGATCCGCCTTTCCCTCTTTTCGTTAATTATTTGTATTTCTTTATCCGCCTCCTCGTCGATCGAACGAATCGATCGTTTCTCCTTGTCTTTCACAATCTTTAATTTGTCATCGAATGCCACCTGAAGTTCATCGTTGACTGATTGAAAATGGTTACTTGCAGAGGTTACAGTGAACTCTAGTTTAGAGTCAAGCGTTTTCAATTGTTTTTTCATTTCCTCTATCTCTTGCTGCTTGTCATCCAGTTTCCTCCTCCTCTCCAAGATGACATCCTCGATGTCGTCTAGCTCACATGGTTTGTGGCAATGCTCTTTAGTAGCGCATGGATGACAAACGGGGATTTTGTGTTCTTTGCAGTAAAATTTGATTGGGTCCCCGTGTTTGTCACATGACCATGTCATGTCATGACCTTTTCTAGTGTGTAGCTTGGCCTTTTCATCTCTTTCTCCTGGGAACTTGGACGCCATGATGAGAAACAGATGCTATAATGTAACCTGCGTTGTTAACAATAATGCAAATTAAATTAGAGAAATACTGAATCAGGCGAATATTAATTCGTTTCATTTCATTTCGCTTATTTCCATTTCCAACATAATGAAATGAAATACATGGAATTGCATTTTACATATGTAAACAATGAAATTGTAATTGAAATTGGTCCACAGTCTACAACAGGCATACACAGCAGGTTGGTCATGGAGGGGACTGCTGGAAAATAAGCCTAAAGATTGCAGCCCTCAATAACTTATAGTTATACAAATAGTATATCAATATTAAGGGAACGCACGAATATATAAACCGGCGTATCAGGACAATTACCCCCTGGGCAATCACCCCCCGGAAAATTACCCCCCGGAGATTTACTCCCCGAGGACAACTACCCCCCGGGGACAATAACCCCCCAGGACAACTACCGCCGAGGACAACTACCCCCCGTGGACAACTACCCCCGGGGACAATTACCCCCCGAGGACAACTACCCCCGGGGACAATAACCCCCCAAGGACAACTACCCCCCGAGGACAATTACCCCCCAAGGCCAACTACCCCCTGAGGAAAATTACCCCCCGAGGACAACTACCCCCGAGGACAATTACCCCCCCCCCCCAAGGACAACTACCCTCGAGGACAACTATACCCCAGGAAAACTACCCCCGAGGACAACTACCCCTCCCCCCCCCCCCCCTGCAAGGAAAATAATCCCCGGAGGACAACTACCCCCAATGACAGTCACCCCCGAGGAATTTATAACACTGGGACGTATAATGCCAGCTTCTCTCCAAATTGCTATTTACAGAAAATTTCGTAAACCTTCATTTTCTTTGTTATTTATGAAGTTCATTTCAGTCTTTTCAAATTATTCAATTCGATATGGGGGGGGGGTGGAGGTTGCCCAATTCCCTCGTAGTTTCGCTACCGAGTAAAAAACAGAAATAACATTTCTTAGAAATTGAACAATACATTGCGCGCAGATGAGTACGCGTTACAGCCTCTCTCACCAACAATGGCACAACAAAGAAATTAGGATGTAAGATTTCCTTTATGCATCCTCTGTAACTTTTTTAATCAGCTGATCGTGTATTTTTCTTTGTATGTATAATGGGCCCTCATCCATGATCCAAAAATTAAGGTTTTCTTCACGTTATCTATTTATTTATGTTGTCATGATGAAGTATAATATGTTTTTTGTACGTTAAATTATTTTGAAATAGAAATTGCCTTCAAGTTATATGTACGGTGCCATGTCAAAAGAAAATAAATATCCGCTCTCTGGTAATTCATCTCATTTGATTTTGTAACTCCAGCACAGCATTTTTCAACCGGGGTGCTGCAAGAGAATGATTTGGAAAACGTTGATTTTTGTAAAAAAATCAATCGGTTAAAATATGTACTTACATGAGAAAATAAAAATTTGAAACTACTAAAGTATCTTCCTTTCTCGCTCGCTGACAATATATTGACAGCAAGGCAAATAAGGGCAACGAGAGGCCCGAATATCCTCATATTAGTGTATCAAGGTCATGACCGAATATATCACTTTTTATATATGTACATTCGGCGGCAAGGTGCCCGCATACAGTACTTTAAATCGTTTCTAGTGTATGGATTACAAACTAATTTGTTAGTAGGTCTTTTTACCAGTTTGAAAATGTCTTCTCCTTTTTGTTCTTAAATGTGCCCATACGTATGTGCATAGCACTTGACGAGTTCCAGAGTCATGCAAAATTAATAGTCTGTAAAGACTTGGGATTTGGGAGAAATTTTTCGTTTCTTAACAGGGTACCGTGACTAACAAAAGTTAAAATAACGCTGCTCCAGAGAAATGTATTTCTATGCATTATTAAAAGCGCTGGACAATTACCTAAAACTTACATTCTTCGTGGAAATCAGCAACCACACTGGCATTGCATAAATTATAATAAAAGGGAAATGTGTAGTAATGAGGAAGACAACGTGTTATAGTATTTGAACGAATATGGGTTCATGCAGGGGATCTTATGGACTCGTAGCCATCTCTCAATGTGTCAGATCGTCTTTCGCTATTGAATCCTGATTGTCCACGGGGGTAGTTGTCCTCGGGGGGGGGGAATTGTCTTCGGGGGGTAACTGTCCTCGGGGGTAATTGTCATCGCGGGTATTGTCATCGGGGGGTAATTGTCCTCGGGGGGGGGGTAATTGTCCTAGGGAGTAATTGTCCTCGGGGGATAATTGCCCTAGGGGGTAATTGTCCTCGGGGGGTAGTTGTCCTCGGGGGGGGGGGTAAATGTCCTCAGGGGGTAATTCTCCGGGGGGTAATTTTCCGGGGGGGGTTATTGTCCTTGGGGGGTAGTTGTCCTCGGGGGGTGATTCTCCGGGGGGTAATATTCCAGGGGGTAATTGTCCTTTGGGGGTAGTTTTCCGGGGGGTTATTTTCCGGGGGGTGATTGCCCAGGGGGTAGTTGTCCTAGAACCATAAATCGGATACACAGAACATAAAATGAGTGAAAGGGACATGAAAATAAGGGAGATAGGGAACGAGAGAGGATCGATAGGGCTCTTACCTATATAAACACAAAACACGGACCGACCGGAATACGGATGACTGTACAACATGAATGAAAATATAACAAAGTATTATTACGTGACATGAATTGAATAAGGGTAAGCTGACGCTTGATAATTACGTAGAATAGATCTATTACATTTAAATTTAAAAGAATTTAAACTAGGGGCATTCGTGATGCTATCATCAAGAATTGTCCTTTTGACAAGGCCTCGTGACTCTGTCTATTTTCCACCCCAGTCAGCGGCTGAGATGAGTCTAGAGGCCCGGGGTGAACGCGCGATCGAATGGCTTTAGCCGAGAGGCCTTTTGGACTCTGGCTTTACTGCTCTGCATGAATTATTCGTGACTCTGGAATTATTGACCTATCAGAATGGCCATCTTTCAGTTGATTTCGCTCGCGATTCGTTTATTATCAAAACATTTAAGAAAAGATAAAAGATGTAAACTAGTTTTGTTTATGTGATGAACGTATACATGATTAATAATACAAAATATCACATCAACATTTATTTAACATGCACAATTATAATAAAATTGGAAGCATTTGATGACTCGAGCTACCAATTGTAAGTGAGATAATTGGACTTTCCCTGTATCTATATTTGAACACAATATTAGCAAACTGTACTCTAGTAAGCGTTTGTCTGTATGTAGGTTTACACAAAGGTCACATGCAAACAAAATCAATCCCATACAAATATTGCAGGACGCCAATATTCAACATTAGTTGACTTTTCTTTATTAAATTTGAATGCATTATTACACAATTAATACGACCGCAAAGCCATGATCGAGGAGTGGACGAGAAATAAATAGGAAAGCAGAAACACAAACTAACATAGAATAGCAGTTCTTAGTTGTTTCATTTGTTATTTCTTCTGTTATTCCGACTGCTCGTCATTTCATTACGACTTATAACGGTTAAGGAAATGAAAATAAATGCTAGGCGAAAAATACGCACTGATCATTGCGGCGCGTCTCTGAAGTCGTCACAACTAGGCCTATAAATAAGACAACCATGACTTATCTAACTTCTTAATTTTATGTCATAATGATTACAAGTATCATAATTCATGTAAGATCAGTACTTACGAGTAGTTTTCAGGATTATCCCGTTGTGATGAGGACCTCTCTACTATCAGCTAACGATGTAGCATTGCAGTGTACAGTTTGATTGTATGCAACTGACAAGAGCGGTGCAGTGCGTATTGTGAAATATCGGGTATTTTCCAGCTCCGCAATACCATGGATCGGTGCACAAAATCAAAAAAAAAATCAAAAGAGAAGGTATTATATGAATTATCACGCCACTGGTTCAAAGTGTACAGCGTTGTGTTTAATTGTTCTTCAGTACGATGGTTAGTGTGTAAAGCCAAGCTTCGTGCCCCCAACATGACATAAAATAATGTTCATGAAGTTCTCATGAAGTAAACCGAACCGCTCTCATGTTAAATCTCCACATGAATATAATTTGTGTATAAAGCATTATGATAAAAATAGTGAAGTGCAGATTTTTACTCTCCCTTTACCATCGTTCTTTAGTCTCCCTCAATCTATCGCCACTAAACATTCTCCTATTTATTTCGTCATGTTTCTTTGAACGATAGTAATAATTTATGAACGATTTTTTTTTATCATACGTCACTATGTTTATATTTAGGTACACTTAACATTTTTGTATTCATATTTCTCCTTATGTTATTTATCTTTGTTTAATAACCTTTGTTTCTTATGTTATTTATTTGTTAAATTTGTACCTATTTAGTCTGTCGATATTATTTAAAAAAAAGTGGTTTGTATGCTATTGTGCAGGGCCCTTAGAGATAGCGGTTTTATAAGAGGCAACCATGTTGAAATAAAACTGTAAATAAATAAATGAAAAAAGAAAAAACATAAATTTGAAGAAGAAAAAACGAAGAGAAGGGACAAAACGGAAAGTTTAGAAATTATAAGAGACCGAGAATAATGGCGACATTTTTCTTGTTTCTATCTGTCTTTCCTTCTTTATCTTGTTCTTATTTGTTTGTATCTAGTGCAACACGCGAATTCGAAAAACAAGTATAGTGTGCCTTGTGACTGCAATTCTTATTAACTAATTAAACTTCTTGTCTGTCACAAGAGTATTAAACCTAACCCCTACCGATACACCATGCCTGTTTAACTATACCCATATCCCCTAACCACTACGTCATACCTTCATAGCTTACCCAAGTATTGCAACAGACTGACATAGTGTGAAATCATGCCATGCTTTATGATATGGAGGTCAAAGGTACTGATATTCTTTTCATCTACTTGATCTGATAAACTATTCAGACCAGAATTTGCGATTGTTCGCTTTTAGTGAAGGCACGCGATGGAAATATATACATATGAACGGGATTCCCACCTTCGTATTCTAAGCGATGTAAGCTACCACCC